TTTAGTTCCATGACTGCTCCTGTACTCTGAAATCAGTCACTGATCATAGCGTGATTTTCCTGGTCTCTGGGCACCCCACCTGTAGGAGAATGATCTCTTAGTTTGGGCAGCAGTTATGGAAGTGTGTCTGGGGAGAACAGACATGGACACTGAGGTAGTGCAACAAAGCCATGTTTACTATTTATAAGAATACCCGAGTTTCTTAAATCATCGACTGATGCACATTTAAAACCTTTATGGTCTGGGTTGCCTCATCCGTGTAATGAGCATATTTTACAACTATTTAAAGAGAGGAAGGGGTGAGAACCGGTGAGAACTAGCCTAACACTCCATCCAAGCAAAAATGTCCACAGTCTGCTTTACTGGGTAAGAATCTGGGGTGTTATGGTACTGTGAGTAAAGGAAACTGTTTTCCTGGTTCAGAGGTGTCCTCTTAGTCAACTTCTGGCCAAGGCAGAGAGGGCTTTGCTTTCAGCCATACTGACAGCCTGTTCCATTTCCTGCCTGTCCCTTGGGCTCCTCACAGGACAGCCTGCACTCCCTGGCCCAACTCACACCAAACCCTATGGTAAAGTTTTTTTTTTATTTGCGTGCGTGTGTGTGCGTGCGTACCTGCGTGTGTGTGTGGGGTATGAGCACGGGCACACATGTACCACACTACACATGTGGAGGTCAGAGGACAACTTCCGGTAGTCTGTTCCTCTCCTTCCGCCTTGTTAAGGCGGTCTTTCCTGCAGTTTCCAAGGAGCTCTACACTCCACAGCAGTTGGTTTCTGGGTGATTCTCTTTCTCGTCTCCCATATTGCCTTAGGATTTACAGATGTGCACCAACTTTTTACATGGGCTCCGGGGATTGAACTCAGAGCATCGGGCTTGTGTTGCATTTTTATCCCCGAGTCATCTCGATAGCTCCCTCACTGTTGCCAGCAAACTGTGAGACTGCTAGTCCATAACCAGTCTTTAGGGATTCCCATCTCCTCTCAGTCTTCTCCACCAGACCAAGGCTCTGTCTAGTGCTTTGGGGTTAAGCGACACTATCAGAAACAACACTCTAACACCGTTTATTATTGGTGAAGTTGCTTAAAGTGCTATGAGGATGGAGGGCAAGACCCCTCAGATCTCAGGGGCAGCCACAGGTTTGAGTGAGAGCGTGATTGCTTCCCTCTCTGCGCTAAGAAGGCATACTGTAGCTTACCTGGTCTGGAAGATGTGAAATGCCTTAGTGTGCCTATCTTATTCCTAACCTTGAATTACTGTTTTCCTTCACTCCAATTTCCTTATTGTAAAGTTCTTTTTAAATTCTGCTATGAGGATGGAGGGCAAGACCCCTCAGATCTCAGGGGCAGCCACAGGTGTTAGGAGTCAGGATGGTGGTTACCCTTGGTGGAGGGAAGGCAGTGTCTAGAGGGAACATTTGGGGGGTTGGGTTCTGGAGTAAAGATCACCCATTTCCTCAGCTGGATGCCACACAGGTGTGTCCATTCTTGACATCACTGAACTAAGCACTTGACATAATACAGCTTTTTGCCTGTATGTCAGACTTACATGAAGTGTTTAGTCTAAGCACACACTGCAAAATTTTTCTTAATCCTCACAACCGTTTTAGGTCAGTGCAGTTACCCACATTTTACACAGAAGCAATCTGAGTCTCAAAAAGTGAAGAGATGGTACCACACGGCTCCCCACTCCCTACTTACTTCATTCTGTTGTCACCAGGCTCAGCTACTGAATCTGACAGATCAGACCTAGAGGGAAACGGGTGGAGGGGCTTCATGGAAGGGCAATACGCAGCATCCTGGGCAAGCCAGGGATGGGCTGCCTCCCCTGAGTGAGAAGCCTAGGTCCTCCTGCCATCTACCCCCACCCCCACCTGCTCCAGGGCAGGGCCTGTCCTTCCCTCCGGGAGGCCTGAGAGATTCCTTGCAGGCCTCCTTCCCTTACAAATGGATTTCAGAAAGAAAAAAAAAAATTGAAAAAGTAGAAACTATCAGTTTAGTTCTGACCTGGAACAGCCACCTTCCAGACTCTAAAGGGAAAGGAGAGTCTACACAGAACAACTGACTAGCAGCAGAAAGGGGCTCCTCCCAGGCTGAAGCAGATGGCACCAAAGGTCAGCCAGCAAGCCAGACGACTGAGCTCTGTGCCTAGCCTCCTTTCTCCAGGGCTAAGGGACTTATTTTGACTGGATAGAACCATGGTGACTATTCCCCAGCCCCTTCCCCACCAGAGCCCCTCCTCTTAAGATGTGGTTGGCGCTGGAAGGCCCGATTAAGCTGCATACACAGCGCAGTCAGGTACACAAGACGAAGTTCCCAACAGCTTTCTGCAGCGGCCTTCGGCAGCAAGAACACAGGAAAGGCTTGCAGGGCCAATTTTTACACACAGATTGAAAGAAATTTGATTCTATTTCATAGCATAAAAGTCACTATATGGCAATGCTCGGGTCATCAGACCAATTTAGGGAGTTCCCCATATTCCACCACAAAATTAGCTTTGGGCTTGGGCCTCAACATGCCTCCCTGGCCACTCCTTCCTCATTTCCTAGCAGGGAACTGGGTCTGTCCACTCCAATGCCCTTTCATAGCTCAAATGCAAAAATCTCAACTAGACACACCAAGTGTGTTTCGGGAGAAACTGCATTGGACAGATGGGGGTGAGGTAGGTGGTGGCCTCCCTGCCTCCCTCCCAGGGCAACTAGCCGATTATAGAGAGCATCAAGAATCTGGAAGAAGGGCTGGAAGAGATGGTTCAGGGGTTAAGAACACTCGCTACTCTTCCAGAGGATCCAGGTTCAATTCCCAGCACCCATATGGCAGCTAACAACTATCTGTGACTCCAGTTCTAGGGGAATCCTGACACCCTCTTCTGACCTCCTCGGGCATTATAGGACACGGGTGCACATGCAGGCAATACACTCATACACATTAAAAAAGAAAAAGAAAAAGAATTAGGAAGAAACGGTCAGCAAGGTTTAGCAGGTAAGGTACTTGCCACCACATCCACCAACTTGAATTTTACCCCCAGAACCCACAAGGTGGAAGAATTGGCTCCTATAAATCATCCTATGATTTCCACGCATGCACTGTGATATACATGTTTTCCCCCAACTCCCAATAAATAACAACAACAAAAAAAAAAGGTTTTAAGAAGGCGTGGCAGGTTCTGGTTCTTGAGCAGAAACAGCAAAAATGGCATTTATGGAACACTGGTCTTGAAGAAGTACATAAAAACTCAAGGGAGAAAAATGGGCAAGTATAAAACACTGGAAAAACCGTGTTTCTTCTAGGGTGGTCTGCTGTGCTGTCTGGAAGTGTGAAGAGTCACCCAAGGAATGACATCAAGTCTCTTTCAGCCCCAACTTTTTTTGTTTTGGGGGGGGTCTTTTTGAGACAGGGTCTCCCTGTAGCCCCAGCTGCCCTGGAACTCACTATGTAGACCAGGCTGGCCTTGAACTCACAGAGATCAGCCTGCCTCTGCTGGGATTAAAGGCATGCGCCATCACGCCCAGCTAGCCCTAGCTTTTTAAACTGTAGGTCTTCATCCCATATAGGGTCACAGAGCTGTGATGGTTACAAAAAATTTAGTAAAAGGTTTCTGAATGTGGAACAACCAAAAAGTTAATTCAGAATGAAACGCAGAATGAATCTGAGGCAGTTCTGGCAGCGCTCACCCTTCCCGCATCATGTAACATCACCAGCCTTCGATGCGAGCCCACAACTCTGCACCACCCTGCACTGCGTTCAGTTCACGGCACAGTCAACAATGCTGCCGGAAGACTTTGGCTTAGGCTCATAGACTGTGTTATGAACGGCAGTGGTTTTTCTTTTTTTTTTTTTTTTTTTGAGACAGAGTCTCCCTGTAGCCCTACTATATAGACCAGGTTGGCCTTTAACTCACAAAAGGTGCGCCACCAAGCTTGGCTGTTTTT